ACGGAAAATTCTAACGATACTCATGAACAGATAGACTTACGATGTGATGATACTCCTGCATCTGATATATCTAATAACGCTTCAAATTCTGATGAACTCAATAATGCTCCAAATTCTGATGTATCTGATAACGCTTTTTCGGAATTATCTGAAAATGTATGCCAGGAGACAAAGACTCAATGCTCCACATCGCCAATTTGCATAGAAACTAAATCTTTTGATGATAAAGAGATCGAATTTCTGGATCGGGTACACAAAGAACAGATTGGTAATGAAATAAGAGAAAGAAATCGGAAAAAGAAACTTCAGAATCAAGGATCAACACAAAATACATCTCCCTCTTCTGATATACAAAATGAGGTAAATCCTGTTATCGATCAAGCACAAAATACTGGAATAAAAATTCCATATAATAAAAGAGTAGAGCAAGATTTAAGGCACGATTTATCTGTATTCATTAAAGAAAATAATAATAAAGTTAGTGAAGTATTTGATATACAAATTCCTGAATTCTCGCTAGAAGTAATTGTAACAGGATCTAGCAAAATTACAGCACAAAATATAGCCGATTTGTTTATTATAGCAATGAAAGTTAGACAAAAAGAGATTTTATGCTGGTATTGCTACTATAAAGCATATGAGGATCGAGTCGAGGACATTAAACGTATAAATAAAATTGATGATCAATCAGCAAGGACATTGATATATAATGAGATAAAAGCACTTCTCCCAGATATCACCGATGTAAACTTGCGTCAAAGAACATTTAGAGCAAAAAAGATCTATACGTTACTTATGGGAATAGGAGTAGAAAAAGTCCAAGTAATAACATGTAGTGCAAGTGCAATTTCAAGTTTAACTGACAACCAAATTCAAGATATTATAGACTGTTTTCCGAAAAATTTTATTAGCATAGATGACTCTTCGGTTAAATGCAAAAAAATGATCGGCGTTACAAATTGTAACGCACATGTGACTGAACAAACTTTACCAGAAACCGAGGTAAGTATTACAACCACTCCCTCTATCTCATCATCTCAAATCTCTAATTCAGAAGATATAGTAAATGAAAATAACGAATTTTCAGAAACCGTAACTATAATTGATAGCTTTTCAGATTCTAACTTGGAATCCTCTGATGGTGATGGGGAAGAATCTTCTGACGATGATAACTCCGATGATGATGATGAAACGAATTCGAAAGATTCAACTAAGGTAAATCCAGCTCATAACCGTACCTATTTCCGTAATAAAATGGCAGAACAATATCCTGATTTATTTTGGGAAGGCAGAGATGAAAACAATGATTATTATGGGATTACGGATGAATCTTTATGCCCGCTATGCAAGTTGGATCATTATGAGGAGTATGGTATAAAAGGCAGATATAAAACTGGATCTTATTTTATTAAATGCGAACAGCGTGGAATTAAAATTGAGGTAACGGCATAAACTTTACTCCGCCTTTTCGCAATACTTACTCAAAACCAGATATTTAATATATGATAATAAAACCCTTAAAGAGATGTATAATAGGGGCGGAGCCACATTGTGAAGCAATAACTATATAATCTTTTTTTTTCGATCTTGAGGGGAAAAAACGGGGAATAGGTTAATTACTTTTCTTTTCCGAACTGAAGACATTTATTTTTGTTGGTTATAGTATTGTGAAACAATAAGCTTCGCTCTAATTTAAAGAGATGTACAATTATATAAAACGGGAACATGAATACGTAGACAATGGCCAATAAAACATTAACTCCCAAATATTTGGAGTGGGAAGCTAAATTAACAGAATTGCCAAGCATTTTGACAGATAAAATTCGTTCTAGGTTTTGTAAAAGATATAAGAAAAGAACTGGACTTGATCCCTGGATAAACTCTGAAACTCCCGAATCCCCACAAATCGAAAAAACTGATAATCACCTTTCACGAGACTGTATCATCAAGATTTCTAAGTTTCCGGAAGAAAAAGGTGTGATCATTGAAGCTGTACATAAACGTTTTCCTTTTCTATCATATACTAAGTCGAATGCATGGTATCGAGATGTTTTTAAATATACAGATCCAGAAGCTAAATGTCCGATATGCAATGAAGTTCATACACATTTAGGTATATGGGGTGATTGGAGCTGTCTCGGTAAAGATGACCACTATTTTCTTAATTGCCCTTTTCGTATCGATCAAAAGAAAGTTATAATTGCTGTACAAAGTTTGCCGGAAAGTGTGTCAAACAAACCTCGAGAAACAGAACCTCGTTCACCAACTCATCCAAACAAAAATCACCTTTATCAGTATGCCATCGAACATGGAATAGATCCCAAGAAATTTTCAGTTATTACAGAGGCTGAGAAAAAAAGGTGGAGCATGGGATACTTCCGTGGTGATTTGGAGAGAGATATACGATTCTATCGTGGAGGAATAAAAAGGAATGAAGATACCAGAAAATATCATAAATTTTTAACAGATCGGGATAGGCTGGTCGGTGAAGAGTTATTACGTTGTGATATACAAAAAAGCGGTTTAAGTACTGCATGGCTCGATGATCTGATGAAAGAATAGGAAGAAATCTATACTCAATTTATACAAATATTCTCTCCAAATGAAATTGGAATCGAGATATCAACGAAGGCATAGATTATCAGTGGCCAATTTATATCGTATAACAAGCATAAATTATTTTCCACAATCATATGCGGTTGCTCCCTTGGGGCTCTACATCACATACATACGAATTAACATTCATTTATGAATCACGAAATAAATTTTTTCCGTGTATATAAATGTCTAAAAAATTAAGATCAGGTACTACACACTTATCACCCAAAGTAATTAGTGATATAATCACTGCTAAGGGTACAGCAAATGCATTACCAATTCTAGCTAAAAAATATAATGTATCATATGCATGAATTCGTGAAATATGGAAATTTGCTATTGCAATAAATAATTAGTAAAGCTAACTGATATATACATAACAAAAATCAGTTAAATCATTTCCCGCGATCACATAGGTTACATAAATTACAACCATGATCGGATTCACACTTAATCATTAACACTTGCAAAATCACGAATTAAAAATAGGGTCAAAGACCCATTACAAGGTAATAACAAATAATTGATAACTTTATTGATAATAATTGTATAGCAGAGCTAGTGTCTCTGACACATATTTCAGCATTATTTTTAATGCTACATTACAATACGGAAGGCTGGCTTATATAGAATCGTGGAGTAAGGACAAAGAGGGAGGAACATCTCGAGCCCTAACCCATAAAATGAGAGTTCCTTTCCCTACTCCGTATTATTAACTAAGTTATCATCAAAAATTATATTGCTACTACTCGAAAAATTATGTGTCGGTAAGGTGGTACCTTTGGTACCATTTCGTGGGAAATGACTCTCCGAACCTTTATTGTTACCACCGCTACTATCACTAATGATAATTGAGTTATCTTTTTTTCGGTTTTCTTTCTCGATCCAAGCCTCAATTTTGTTCAACGAAGTTTTTAATGAAGTTTTCTGATGGCGGTAAAAGTTGGCAAGTGTAGCTGAGCTGAGATTAATTTCTATAGATAAAGTATTATATATTTTTATGGGAGAACTTTTTTCTCTTTTTCGTCTCTCGTCAAATAGGGCAGTAAATTTAACCCAGAGAGTTTCGATTTCAGTAGAATATTCGGACCTGAGACTTGTTATAGATGCTTGCCCTAGATATGGAATAATGTGGATTAGTAAAATATAACCACCTTGAGACAGCTTTCACCAAAATTATGTTAGCTCATTAAACCATGAACAAGTGAATTTGCAACTGTTTCACAAACCTCTACTTCGAACTTCACTCCTCCATTCTGTATCACTTTGCATTCTAACAATTTCATTTTTGATAGCTAACATATCTTGCTTTAATTCATCTATATCGGTATTTATTATAACCGGAATTGGAGTGGGGGTCGGAGTTGGAATTGGGACTAGAGTTGGAGATACATATTTTCGTAGATAAATAAATACTACAGCGATAATTACATAGAATATTGTATTTTCGGGGATAACGGAATAAACCATCTCCATTGTTAAGATGCTCCGATTATATAGTTCGTAGATGACGATTACAGCGATGAAAATCGCAAATAAAAAAATATCAGAAATATTGAGTTGCATTTTTCGCAGTTATTTATTTCGCAATTGATAAATTGATTAATTGACAGTTTGAATAAGGTGCGATTGTTCAATGATGGCTTTAATTTTGATTGTTTTTTTACCTGAATCTCCAGCGAATTTATCCTGTTTTTATACATTAAAACTTATTATCAGTGATATATAACATTAGTTCTTTAAATTTCATACTAAATCGAGGTAATAAAATTTTGGTGATCATAGCTCCGTTAGTGTTTGACATATATATGACGATTAAACCGATTAGCGAAGCAAGTACAAGGTGCTAATAAAAACATCTGTAGGTTTGTGGATCTTCATTTGTATTAGCTATCCGTGGCATTGGTTCTTCACATTTCATATTAAATATAAGTAATTAATTGCTAGCGATCACAAAATATGACGACTTCATACGAATGTTGCGTATCGGGCGATTGTTCACCTATAAAATCATTTGTGTGTATATCGCCGATAATTACCAATTCTTCATATGTATCACATGATTTTGTTTGTTACTTAATTTAGAGCGGGGCTTGTTGTCTATGACAACAGATGCAATAGGGACCTATTTAGGAATAAATAGTGCTTCGGCTCTGCATTCACGTTATCTCGAATACATGTCGCGAACAATTATAACCTGCAACGTATTACGTAAAAATTAAATAAAAGAAAAGTAGCTATCCCACCTGTTAACAATTATCTGCTGACTTCATACATCTGGCTTCAAAGCCATAAACTGAGAAGGCAGGATCAAAATTTATATGTGTCACAGATACTAGCTCCACTATTATATTATTAACTAGATAATTAATTCCTCATATGCGTAATGTGTAATGATAAATTGAATCTTTTAAACTAGATGTACAAAAAATTGCTTCGCATGTACATAGTGCATATAGCTAAAATCGGGTGACTCATATTTATATGACAGATCAGCGAAAAACATGAAATTAGGTCACAAAAACATGTAGATATGACACCTTAAAACGTGTGAATCAACCACTTTATTATTCGAAAACTATACATCGGCGATTATGAATAACGAACAAAATAAGCTAAGTATTTGCATCACATTAGTGGGATGTTAATTTGCGAATTATTCAACAGGTATATAAACATTCAGAACAGTACTATTTGTCCCGTCATTGCCCTATCCAAAAGAAAAAGATATATCCTTGTTATAATCTATTGCTTGCCATAAAAACATTAAGAAATTCTAACTAATGAGATCTCCATATTTTAATAGAAAATGGTTTATGATAGAATCCATTTCACAATTCTTATTATTCCTACTGGTCTATTTTTTGGGTATCGAAGTATGCCAAATGGAATTAGTATTTCTAAGAACGAACCCGTTAGTGCATTACGTACTGAAATTTGAAATAACTACTTAACTGAATATGGAAAGCTTCTTTTAATCTTCATGCAGTTGATGTTGAACATAGAGAATATGTGTATATGGAACCTGAAAAAAAAGTTAGTGATTATTTCAATAGCAGACCTCCTGCTGAAATCACGATTCATATTCTCATAGAAGAAGCATAGATTCGGAACTATGTCTAATATAATGATTAGTTTTTTATATCTGTAATATGTATTAAAAACTTTGTATATATGTATTATGTGCTATGTATAGCCTGTTGTGAAGATTGATCTTAGTCTGAAATAAACAGTTTATTGTTTTATTATCCCATACCTATAAATGTGCTAATGTATTAATTATTGTGATGTTGCAGGTAAAAATGATTATCAAGGAACCCAGTTCGAGTTTTCAGCTTATATAGAGTACCAAAAACGTTATACCAATAATGACGGATGGTGCATTTTCACGTATACATATAGTTCAGTATAATCAAACACTCCTACTATACTATCTTTACGTATATTTTTGACTATAACAAAGCTATTCTTTGGATCGTACATGTGTTCATATTTATTTGGATTAAGTAAATCCATATACTGGGAGGGAATATTGGTAAACTTTCCAGATGTCTTACGCTTATTATTACGAAACTTAGCCATACTAACATATATACATCCATTTATTCGATTCAAATTTGGTGTGTACATTCGAGTAATACTTTCTAATACTTTCTTACTAATGCACATGCGCCTTTCCAAACTGAGATACAGTATTTTAAATTTGTACATTTATGCACTATTTCCTTGTCAGCTTTACTATCTATTATGCAATCACCAAGTTCAAGGTGTTTAAGTTTTGGACATGATCGTACCTGCAATTATATATATCGAGATATTCTAGTTTATGACATGAGTTTGTTTTATTATAAAAAACATTGCCCATAGTAAGGCAGATACAAAAAATAAGGTCAAAGACCCATTACACGGTAATAAATTTGCGAATGCATATTCATGAAATACACAGATATTATTCGATAAAAAATCTATTTATTCAGGGAAGAATACTAAAACGTTAATTTCATCTTCATTGATATCTCTGTTATAATAATTAGAAATTTTTGTCATTGCTTTCATTCTCATTCCACTCACCGTTTGAAGATTGATTTTTGTAGAAGGAACATCATTTTTTAGGGGTGCTAATCGTTTCTTTACCAAGGGTTTAAGCATATCGACCTTTTTTTCTTTAGGAATTTCGATTACAAAAATTTCTTCATCATTTGTATCACCATGGACGTGAAAGTTGAGACTAATAATGTCAGATATTTTTGTGGTTCCTAAAACGAAGATTCATAGTGAGTAAAATTCCTTGTATAGATGAATAATTTCTTGTAAATAATACTTGAATTGATGCGATGTAATATTTCTTCAGGATTATGTGTACCTTAAAAAAATGTGAATAAGGACAGAGTCTCCCAAAACCTACTTATTTATATACTTCACGAAATCTAAAACTCTCTAGAGGAATCTTACCTTTATCATTCAAATTTCCAATAAGTCTACTTACGATCTGTTCATTCTTAACATAGTAATTATAAAATCAGCGAAATTGAAGTAAACCTGTTATATTGTCATATGCAACGAAACGCCAAGAATTCAACAAAGCTGAAACGTATATATATATTTAGTGTTATTGAGGAGAATAAATTCTATTTAGATAAGACGATCATTCCGATAAGGCTAAATCTTGACAATCTCGCAATCTTGCAATCTCGACTCCCCATAACTTGGGGTTTTTGTTAATCTTACTAATAAAACATTAACGGTCTATTTTTTCTTATATCCTTTTCGAGTTTCGTTTAGCATGTTCTTATCGAAAAGTATATGTGATATAGAAATATTTTCCAGGTTAAATAAAACAAAAAAAATACGTATAACGATTATCTATGCTGCTCAAGAATGTTCCACAAACTTCTATATAGAAACTGGATTACACGAAACATGTGAGATCTGACTTGTGATCAATTCTATCAATTTTCCTGAAATAAAATTAATGTTTCGATCATGGGTAATAGCGGAGCTAGTGCTAAAGCACATAGAAACATCAACGTAATACGTAAAAAAAATCTGATTATCGTGGTTTATTAATGCAATTGAAACGGAATTATGTCAGGAGCGTCAGGTGGTGCATTTCCAAATATACATATGTGTCAAAGACACTAGCTTCACTATAGTTCAGAATAATCGAACACTCCTACTATACTATCTTTACGTATATTCTTGACTATAACAAAAACTATTTTTTGAATTGTATGTGTGCTCATATTTATGAGAATTATGTAACTTTATATATTGGGAGAGATTACATATTAACCTTTACTTATTTTTATATACTATACTTTTCTTATTTCGCTTCTTTTTAGTCATAAAATAGACTGGCCCAAGGTCTTTAGACTCATATATTTTTTTTGTTGGCTTATCTTTTGGAATACATCTATGTGTTTTCATATCATCAGATAATTCAGTTTCAGAATTTGAAGTATTGCTATTATAATCATAATTATCTGAATATATTGTGACGCAATATTTTTATATTAGTTATCTTATTTTATTTTCATATGTATTTTTATTTATTATTTTATATTAGTTA